TTCCATGTACCTGCAGTTCAAATTTGAAATATCCTGAAAAATTCGATGAAACGAAATAAACTAATGAAATATATCAAAAAAGTCAAAATTGCCCCAAATTTTAAAATAGAGTTTGAAATACTGTCACAAGGCCCTAGAAAAAAATTTGGGCCCAAAATAAAAAAAATTGCCGAGTACCATGGGGGGCACTCGGCAAAGCTGATATAAAAAAAACTGGGCACTAAAAGCCTACCGGCTCAATCCCCGCGTGGCCCAACCCTAAGTCACGGCCCCAGCCACCCGCCCGCTCCCCCGCGCCCACCCCAGCCGCCGCCGCGCCCACCCCCGCCGTTGCCGCGCCCTCGCCGGTGAATCGCCGCCGCCGGCGAGCCCCGCCCTCGGGCCCGCGTGCGCCCGCGCCCGCCGCCGGCCTCGCCCGCGACCACGCCCATCGCCGGCCGCGCCCGCCGCGCCCACCCCCGTTGCCGGCCACGCCCCGCCCCCAGCCGCTGGCCGCGCCCCGCCCCGGCAGCTCCTCGCGGCCCGGCCCCCCTCTCCTAGGCCGCCTAGAGCCGGCTGGTGCCAGCCGGCCATTTCCGGTAGCGGCGGCCGTGTCCTGGCCGTCCCTTCCCTGGCCGCGCCGCCCGTAGGAGCAGGGGAGGTAGGAGGAGCAGGGGAGGAGGGAGAGAAGGGAAGGGGAGAAGAGGAGGAAGAGAAGAGGAGGAAGAAGGGAGAAGGGAGGAGGAAGAAGGAAGAAGGAAGAAGGGTGGGAGGAGAGGAGAAGGGAGGAGGAAGAAGGAGAAGGGAGATGGAGAGGAGAAGGGAGGAGGAGCCCTGGCCGCTGTCCACGCCTCGTTAGCGGCGGTGCCGTGCCCTCAGCGCCCCGCTCCCGACTCCGCCCACCGTCGACGAGCACACTAGGTTCGCCCTTCCCTTTCTATTCAAATCGTGCAATGGATGTCGGCCATCGAGCCCTTGTTAGTAGTAATAGTTGTTGTGTGTGGTTTTCGGCCATCGAGCTGTTGTTTGTGGATGTTGGCCTTCGTGCCGATCTTTTTTGCAGGTTTTTGCAACCTCCCCGTGCAGGGGAGGTTCTACCAAAATTTTCAATTGTCACTAATGTATTGCCTTTTTATGTAGGAGGAGGCCCCGGCGGAGGGACCTCGGTGACCCCGATTGTCTTCGTCAGCGTTGCGGGTCTGCCTGCACCGCGTCGCGGCGCCACTGCACCGACTCGCCACAGCCCCGCTAGCCTGACCTCACTGGCACCCTAGGTATAACCCCTCTATCCGTATCATGGTCTTAGGTCGCTGATCCCAGTTAGGCGTCTCCCGTCCGAAAGAGATACGGTCGGAGTTATATAGGTCTTTGCATATCTGTGAGCGTTTCTGTTTCGGATTGTCCATGTTTTTTGGACAGCCTGCGGATGCGTAGATGGGTTAGTTTCCATGGTCCGCTCTGGTCCGAGATGGTGTTTCAGCATCACCCCCTGTTGTTCTCCGGATACACACTCTCCCTTACAGGACATATATCAGGAGAACAGCGGGGAGGTGCTGCCGAAATTCCATCTCGGATAGGAGTGGAGCATGGAAACTAACCTCATCTTCGGATCCGTGGGTGGGATTAGGACCTATCCTCACCTATTAGAGAGTAGGGACACCGCGTAGATGCAATTGATGGTGACTGATATGTGTTGATACGTCTGTTAAAGGATGGAGGACCGTGAGTGGATGTAGACGCTCCGGAGAGACGAGCACGATTACGACTTGCTGTTTATAGTCAAGGTCGAAGAATTCTTACAGCATGCATTTGGCGAGAGTGCTGGAGGCCATTCTCGAGTGGTTTGTCCGTGCAGCGGTTGTGACAACAGAAGAAGGAAAGATAGGTTAACCATGGGTAAACATATTGTGAAGTTTGGATTTACTCCGGGCTACCATCGGTGGATCCACCATGGTGAAGCCGATCGTATCAGGGAGGAGGTGGTGAGACCATGGCTCGAGGCTTTTGATGATGATGCCGGGGTAGCAGACATGCTGGATGACACGCACCAAGCTCAGTTCGCTGAAGGACGTGACAAGGAGGAGATGGAGGCTGCCGCAGATGCCTTCTACCTGATGTTGGACTCGGCATAGAGACCCCTTCACGATCATACTAATGTTTCTCAGCTGGATGCCATTGGTCGCGTAATGGGGTTGAAGGCCAAGTTAAACCTAAGTCGAGAAGGCTTCGACAAGATGGTGGCCGTGTGGAGCGATATGCTACCGAAGACACACATTATGCCGAAGAACTTGTATGAGTCAGAGAAGCTCCTTCTTGCACTTAAGATGCCGTATGACAAGATACATGTGTGTCCGAAGGGGTGCGTCCTATTTAGTAGGTCCAGAATTGATCTTCTTATATGTCAAACACTTGATGATGTGTAGGTGCCGGCCTCGTGGTGCATGCCGCATAGATCGGCATGGTCGAGGATCATGGACAGGTACCTTGACCCGGCGTACATCGCAAAGCACGAGCAAGGCAAGCGGAAGCGGGCACTGAGGACCGGTCCAACTCACCACCAAGGCAGCCGCAACCTCCCCGCATTCAAATGGGCACTTGTACGAGATGTCATTTATCTATTCTAACGCTCAATTTTGCCTGATTTCTAATCATATTGTCGTCTTTCTCGCAGGAGGTGGCACACCCGGACGTGCCGGTGTCGGAGTTTGGGGCATGGGCTATGTCCCACATGGGCCCGGTGAAATCCGATGTCGTCTTCAACCCGGATGCCACTGCCCAGGCTTACTCTGACCCGAGCGTCCACGCTAAGGTCAGAGACTACGCGGAGGCGGTTAGAGCGCTCCGTGGCTCAGATCACAATATGAGCATTGAGCCCCTTGAGACAGAGGTGATCGTGAGGCTAGGGCAAGGCAGGAAGCACAGGTGGTTGTGGATTGCAGACGGCGCCGACTCCTCGAGCTCTGCACCCTCTCTCTCCGACGTGAGGGCACGGAGCACGGCCAGAAGCCTTCCCATACGTGCACGGCCTACTCCAACACTGTCGCGGGTCGACAAACTTTGGGTAATTCCGGTTTCACTCATCGTACATTGAACGTTACACACATTGATCAGATTTGTAATACTGAAACATGTGATTGAAACACCAGTAGGCCGAAATGGCGAGAGACAAGGAGAGCATAGCGCGGTGACCATGAACCTGAGAGGCCACGAAGAAGCAGATGGCGGACATGTATCAGATCATGCAAACCATCGGGCAAACATCGGGTGTCCAAGTGCAGTTGCCAACTCCAGCTCCGGTTCGACACTTCACTCCTGTGAGTATGAAAGTTTAATGCGTTCGTGCCGTTGGGATTGTCAGCCTTCGTGCCGTTGTGATTTTCGGCCTTCGTGCCGTTGGGATTGTCGGCCTCCATGCCGTTGTGATTGTCGGCCTTCGTGCCGTTGTTTCTTGCAGGTTGAAAACCTCCCCGTGCAGGGGAGGTGCTGCCAAAATTTTCAATTTTGAGTCTAACACATGCAATCTCTTCTCTTTTGTGCAGCCTCCGTCGGTGGGTTCAAACAATCCCGCTACCGTGTCACCGGAGGCTGATCACGTCAACCCTTCGCCGTAGTCCGGTCCTTCACCGCAGTCTGAGGGGCCACACCTGCAGTCTCCGTCGCCGCAGTAGGGATGTTGAACTTGTAATAATAAACTTGTGATGTTGAACTTTGGTGTATTTGTGATGGATTTTCGATGGATTTATTAAATATGTGTGTGCTTGTGATATATAATGCATGTTAGTGATATAGAAGTGATGATTGATGTATATATATATATATATATATATATATATTGAAAAATCTCGGGGACAATATATTTGTGATATATAATGCATGTTGGTGATATAGAAGTGATGATTGGTGCATGTTGGTGATATAGAATTGCAAGTTTTTTTTACAATTCTCGGGGACTTTGCCGAGTGCCATGGGCAAGGCACTCGGCAAAGATTTTTCAAAAAAAAATATAAATTTTTTTTTGTTAGTGCCTCGCCTCGGCAAAGTATATTTTTTTTAAAAATCAGAAATTCTTTGTCGAGTGCCTAAACAGGGGCACTCGGCAAAGAAATTATTTAAAAAAATAAAAAAAACTTTGCCGAGTGCCTAGGCAGGGGCACTCGGCAAAGTAATTTTTTAAAAAAATAAAAAAACTTTGCCGAGTACCATGCGCAGGGGCACTCGGCAAAGTACTTTTTAAAAAAAATAAAAAAAAAACTTTGCTGAGTGCCTGGGCTGGGGCACTCGGCAAAGTAATTTAAAAAAAAATTGCCGAGTGCTGGGTCGGGCACTCGGCAAAATAACCGTTAACGGCCGGCGCCGCAACGGCCGAAAATATTTTGCCGAGTGCCGCCCCGAGCACTCGGTAATTTTTTTTTTTTTTTGCCGAGTGCCCGGATAAAAAGCACTCGACAAAGACCCTTTGCCGAGAAAAATTTTGCCGAGCGGACTTTGCCGAGTGCTACACTCGGCAAAGCCTTTGCCGAGTGCAAAGGGCTCTTTGCCAAGTGTAAAAATACTCGGCAAAGCCGCGGCCTTCAGTAGTGATTGTAAAAATTCTCATTCAGAAATGGTGAGAGTTTGATCCCAAAATGAAATGGAACGCATGATACGATCATCGATAAATCTTTAAACCTCTGGTACCCATGCATCGAGGTACAACATAAAATTAGATTTCCAGACGAATCAAAACACATGACATGATTGCCAATAACCAACCAGCCAATAATCTGAATGTCCTGGTTTGCGTATGGCAGCGCCCAGATATATTTGCTACTCATACAAAAGTAGCGGCCGCTTATTAACCCTTTTTGTTTGGAAGAACAAATAAACCAATGCCTCCCCTTACATACATGCTACTGTTTTTCTCTCTATTTATGCTGCGCCAGGCCGCTGGCCATCAAATTAGCTCAATCCACAACCACACCACCCACTCCATCCCTGCCGTCGAGAGAGAGTACAACAACTCCATGCATACCAGTAGAACCATGGAACAAGCCAAGGAGGGAAACGCCACAGATAGCTCATCTGAAGCCATTTCATCTCAAAGCCACTATACCGATCTTCTCTCCAAACTTCCATCGAGAGAGGGTTGGACAGTGCCACTGGTGCTCTACAAGAAATTCTGGCTCCGTCCGCGATTGGCTATTAACATCATGCACCTCCAGACCAGTTTTAACGCTCGCCAAGATGATATCATCATTGCATCGAACCCTAAGTGCGGCACCACATGGATGAAGGCGCTCGCCTTCGCAATAACAAATCGTTCTAGGTATGAGTTTGGAAATCATCCTCTTCTCTCTCGTCATCCTCAGGAGGTGATTCCATTTATCGAGATCCCTCTTGGTGTGGAGCTGACTTACGTGGATACGCTCTCTTCCCCAAGAGTTCTCGCCACCCATATGCCCTTTTCATTGCTCCCAAACTCCATAACTACTTGTGGTTGTCGGATTGTGTACATTTGCCGAGGGCCAAAGGACGCGTTTGTGTCTCGATGGCATTTTGAGAATAAGATTAGTAGAGAATATAGCATCAACGTGAAAGATGCTCTTGACATGTTCTTTGAAGGTTTCTCACCCTATGGTCCTTTTTGGGAGCACTGCCTCGAGTACTGGAGGGAGAGCATCGCAAGTCCTGACAAGGTTCTTTTTCTCAAGTATGAGGATATGACGTCAGAACCAGTGAAGTGTGTCAAAAGGATCGCAGCGTTCCTTGGAGTCCCATTCTGTATTAAGGAAGAAGAAGATGGGGTGCCTGAGAAGGTTGTGAAGTTATGCAGCTTTGAGAAGCTTAGCGGCTTGCATGCCAATCAGGTAGGAGACATCGTTCGACGCGACAACATGGTCATTGACAAGTCGGTGTTCTTCAGAAAAGGAATGGTGGGGGATTGGGTGAATCACATCAGCGAAGAGATGGGGAGAAAGATAGATTGCATTATGGAAGAGAAACTCAAGGGATCTGGCCTTGTGTTTTAACGTGTATCTCATTTTCTCATATTGTCTTCTTGTATGATTTGGCACACCGTTTTTCCATGTTTGCATGAATAAAGAAGTCATCCATATTTCAATTTGGAAATATAATTTGAATATGCACACTCTATCATGTTTCAAAGTAGATACGGAAGTGGCAAAGTGTCTACTAGCTTACTGGTTATATATTTGGTTGAAGCTTATCCTCAAATTAAATTTGGTAAGTGTGAAGCTTGTCCTCAAATTAAATTTGATAGGTGTGAAGCCGTTATCTTGAACTCGATGGAGCTCGTATTAACTCCATGAGACAACATCTCAAATTCTAAAAAGTAACTTTCGTCCATCATACAACAACTTGGAAGGTGGATGCAATTGGTCCAACAACTTGTAAACTGTTCAAATAAATACAACTTATCAAATTGGTGCATATAAGGCCCAAACATTGCTAGTATGGTAAAATATGTACTCACTAGTTAGGTGCTAGAATTAATGGATAATTCAACCAATATGAACATCCCAAATAAAATCTGACCACTACTATGGTTGCAATCTAGGTGCTAGAATTACTATGATAATTCAACCAAACTCAAGGGATCTGGCCTTGTGTTTTAACGTGTATCTCATTTTCTCATTTTGTCTTGTATGATTATTTGACACACCATTTTTTTCCATGTTTGCATGAATAAACAAGTCCAATTTAATTTAGAAATGTAATTTGTATATGCGCTTTATCACTCTATCAAGTTTCAAAGCCGATATGGAAGTGGCAACGTGTCTACTGGCTATATCTGGTAAAAATTAAATTTGGTAGGTGTGAAGCTTGTCCTCAAATTATACTTGTAGGTGTGAAGCTTGTCCTCAAATTTCATTTGGTAGGTGTGAAGCTTATCCTCAAATTAAACTTGGTAGGTGTGAAGCCATTATCTTGAGCTCAATGAGGCTCGTATTGACTACATGACTCAGCATCTCAAATAATTATTTTAAAGAGTAATTGCTCCCATCATGCAACAACTTGATAGGTAGGAACAAATTGGTCCAACAACTTGTAAATAGCTAAAATAAATATAACAACTTAACAAATTGGTAGTCCAAACATTGCTAATATGAAAAAATATGTACTCACCAGTTAGGCGTTCGAATTAATGAATAATCCAACCAGTATAAATATAGTAAAATACGTACTCCCCAGTTAGGTGCTAGAATTAATGGATAATCCAACCAGTATGACACTACTAGAAAATGATCTTAGGAGATAGTGTCAATCATTTTCAGAAGCGGGTACACCTAGCGACTGCCTCCATAAATGCTTAGGGGGCTTCGGGAAAATGTTGGTCTCCGAAAATAATTCTCGAAGGTGGACGTCCTAAGGCATACGTCTCCTAAAATCATCGATTAACCGAGGCAGTCGTCTTAGGATGTCCATTTCCATAAATTAATTTTCGGAGGTGGGAATTTTAAGACGAGTGCCTCTGTTTATTGATGACTTTTTGAGGTGTTCGTAAAACAAATTTATCAAGACCGATGTCTATCAAAAAATAATTCATAACTTTTTCGTATGAATTCGGATGAAGACAAACTTCGTATCAAAACTGTAGCTCTCAATGCAATCTACAACTTTGTATTTGAAAAGTATTTGAATTAAAAAATTTTAGGGTCCCAAAATATTGTTGTAAGTTCATAGATTTTGAAATTTAAAATTTAAAATTGTCAACCAATCTCGGATGTTGACATGAGCTATACAAAAGATATAGTTCTCAACACAGTCTACAACTTTGTAGTTGAAAAGTCTTTTATTTGAAGTCGTGTAGAGTCCCAAATATGTGTTCTAATTTATAGATTTTGAAATTCAAAATTTAGAATTCCTAAACGACCTTCTAGACATGGCTGACGCTGGCGACTATCTGCGGGCGGTGCTTGACTGCAAGAACATCGCGCGAGGGTGCGCGGTCGTCAGGCCCATCGTCGTGGCGGCTTCAAAGAAGAGGTTTCATTGGGAAGACGTCGCGGACAAGAAAGAAGGAAAAAAAACCAAATGGTACGCAATATAACGTGTGGCAGGTGGATAATTTTTGCAAAAACTTGAAAGCCATGGCAGATGAAAGCACGGATGAAGGTGCTATGAAAACTGTGCGAACAGGGCCTAAGGAAGCATAGAACTCATGAGCACAAGAAGGGGTCGCCATGGATGATGAATCCCCTTCCCCTAGCTCTCAAAGCCTTAACACGCGCAAGCACTACTACAATGCTCCGTGCAGTCTGGTTCTAGCTTACGTATGTGTTTTTTCTCTTCTTGGATGGTTAGATATATGCTTCCTTCTTTGTTTTGTTTTGTTTTCCCCAATCAACTGAGATACATGTTTCCTAAACCACATTGTTTTTGTTGCAATGAGAGCAAAGCAATGACAACATTGACACTTCATCGTCATAGATCTATCCTTACGATGTCATAAAAAATACTCTTTGTATAAAAATAAATGCACATATTGCACCTCGAGAAGTCAACCAATCATAGATTTGACCATATGCATATAATATTTATATTTAGGATACTAAACAAGCATCATTAGATTAATGATGCTATATATTTTCTTAGCAAATATTTTAGAGATAAAAATGTTGATGCTATATTCTATAAATCAAATTAAACTTGAAATTGGTTGACTCTTCGAAGTAGGGAGTGGTGGAGTATATTCAATTTCTCGATGTATGATTCATTTGTGTCGTGTAAGGATGAAAACGGTTGAACTCGGTCGAAAAACTCAACCGTTTTCTACTTTTACATTTGAAATACGAAAGTGAAAGAGAAAGCGGATAAGCCGGACACGAAAACGAACACGAACTTACGGAATATCTAGAATTTCGGAAACGAACCAATTCGAGCGGAATTATGTCGAACACGGTCGGTATGCGAAAATTCAATATGAAATACCGACCCACAGTGCATAGCATTAAACAAGTGCACGACCAAATACATAACAAGTTCACAACTAACAAGTGCATGATCTAATTCCAGTGCATATCATTAAACAAGTGAACGACCAAATACATAATAAGAGAGATGAGGCGGGGCGCCGTCTATAAGAAACGACTCATAGCCGCCTACCTCCTCCGGAGCAGATGGTCCTTCAGCGAGCACTTCGGCAAGGTTCAAACTAGTGTCCTCATAAAACCGAAGAAACGACTCATAGCCGCCTACCTCCTCCACTAAGTTTAAGTTTGAACCATATTCGTTAGGAACGACAAGGGGGGCGATTGATTGTTGCGATTGTTGTCCGAGTTGTGCAACACCTTTCCCTACTCTCTTCTTTTTTGTGCCACCTCATATGACTTGGTGAGAGAGCGGTCATAGTCCGATATCGGTTGTTTCGTGACGCTCTTAAGAGAATCCTGTTTTTTTGTTCCAACTTCTTTCTTAGCTAATCTGGAGGTAGGAAGAAGTATGATGGCTCCGGGTTCTCCCTCGCTCGTCGTGCCTGTTTTGCACCTTCAAAGAAATCTGTCACTTCTTTTTGTACTGCATCCTTTAATTCCTGTTCACTTTTCTCATAAGATAGTTTTTGGGGAATAACTTGATGAGTATTTGCTTTCTGCTTCTTTGCCGGCGGGCAGGGCAACAGCTTCGTTTGTGGGGCGGACCTCTTAGGGGCTGGCTTCCTTGGAGGTGGGGGAGGCGTTGGAGACCGCCTTGGAGGCAGTGCAGACTTTGGAGGCGGCGGAGGCGTTGGAGACCTCGGCGGAGGAGTTGTGGACTTCCTTGGAGGCGGCGGAGGAGTTGGAGATGGTGGGGATGCAGCAGTGCCTTCGAAGGCGTCATCATTGTCCTAAGCACTATGATGGTCGGGAGAAGCAACAACTGGACTTTGGTTGGCGGAGGCCCTGCTTTGTGAGTACAAAAAATAATGAGATATAAGTAAATGCTTATTATTAGTCATACCCATAGAAAATTATCAAAAAATTGTTTTGTTAACTTTTGTCCGCACCTAATGTCTGCTGGCGGTGGAGCAGACGCCCCAGGGATAATGATGTAGCGCTTGCGCCATAGTATATATGCCTTCTCTGCTTCTCCTAGAGTCTTCTCTCCATCACCTCCAGGAATGTCAAGAGCTAGATCATCATAACCTTTGCTCACTTTATCCACTGTGACCCTAGCATATCTAGGTTGTATTGGTGCCCCATGGATTCTTGGTGTCTTGGTAGGGTCTGGAGGAGTAAAAACACCGACATCGACCTTGATTGTGTCATTCCCCCTTAGAACATGTAGCTCAATTGATGTCATTGGAGTAGTGACATCATCCACGGGGAAGCGCAGCGCTGCGTCATCTTGCTTTGGTAGCTCAGTGGAAGCGCAGCTGCTTTTCAACTGACCAGGGGGGCTAATATTAACATTCATTCCTGGCTCTGATGCCTGCCTCTGGGCACTCATTGCTATCTGCACTTGCTTTCTGATTTCTTCCTGCATTCTTGCTTCCATTGCTTTTTCTCGCTCCTTTGCTTCAAGCACCATTTCCTCCAACATTGTCACCCGCGCTGCTTGCTCCTCCTTACTTCTCTGGCGGCTTCGGTAGGTTTCCCTGTCATTAGGGAAACCATGAACCCATGGAGTGTTGCGTCCTAAGCCTCTGGTTCGGCCAGTGTGTTTAGCAGTCCCGATGGCATACGTCAGCTCATCCTTCTCTTTATTGGGCTTGAACACACCAATCTCTTTAGCTTCTATAGCAAAAGCCAATCAGCGTGCTGCTGTTTCGAGTTTTTGCCCATACACTGCCAGACCGGTCTATGGGTCGAGTCTTCCCCCATGACCGAAAAACCAATTCTTCGAGCGTGGGGGCCACTTGGCTGATTCTGGTTCGATCCCCTTGGCAATAATGTCCGCTTCCATTTTTTGCCACTTTGGAATGGCAGTATCGTAGTCACCTGATCCCATGTCATGGTGGTATACCTTTTTTCGGGCATTCTCTTGGTTCCTTCTCACCCGTGCCTCACCCTCTGCTGATGTCTTGTACTCT